GGGGGGGGGGGGGGGACGGGGGGACAGGTGCGGAGACCCCCACGGCGCCCTCCCGAGCCCCACCCCCCCCCCCCTTCCCCCCCCCTCTCCCCTCCCCCCTCTCCCTCCCATTGCTCAATCGCGTCTACGATGGAAAACCCGCATCCCCCATTGATTCCCGGAAAAAAAACCTCCATGTGGGACATACGGTGGAAAAGAGCGGCCGCGACTCGCATTAAGGATTCCTTCACTCCCGGGCGCGCGGCGTTTCTTTCGCTTCGCTCCGTCCGAGCGCACGCGATGCGAGCCGATCGTTCGTCTTCGCCGACGGATCGTTCGAGAGGACGGAGCGACCTCGGTTTCCATTTCCTGTTTTCCTTCCGAGGACGGGGAAGGCCTTGAAACGCAAACTCGGAGCCTTCGTTTTCCGCTTCCATTTTCGAGCGGAAAGGTCTTCGGGGTCCCGATCGGTTCGCGGGAGAACTGCGTTCGATTTCGGGGATTTTTTCCTTTCCTCCTCGTTGCTTCTGCGAATTTTTGCTCGCAATGTCGACTGCTTTCGAGATCTTAAAAATAGTTTTATCTTTTCGTTTCGTCACGATCGCGGGTACAGGCGGCGACACCTAAAAGCGATCCAAGGTTATTTTATCGGTACCTTTAGTGATAAGTCACGTGACGGTGCCTTTCTTCCGTTGAAGAAACCGTTTCCCGCCCACATTCCGCTTCTGTGGAGCGACGGAGGGTAAATGCGACGGATTACGGCCCCTTTCGGTCCGTCCGCTCGTCGACGTTTCGAAATTCGTGATTTTGGACAGACGACATTCCGAGGGGAAATGACCCATCTCGAGACCGGACATCGGTGCAATTTGACCCAGAAATCCCGAATTTCCAGTTTATTCATTAATGCGACGTGGGGGGCGGATTTCACGACGGGGTCGGAATTCGTTGCACCCGCCCTGGGTATTAGGAAAATAATGAAAAAATGCAGTGTGACCCCTTTCGAACGGACTCGTTTCTGGCGTAATCGTGCTAATCGAGATGGGGGGGAAGGGGGGAGGGGAGGGGAGGGGAGGGGAGGGGGCAGCGTTGCCTCACGAGCCGTCAACCTTGCTCCACGGTCGACTGCATCGCTTCCTAATAATCGGGAATACGAGATTCCTAAACGCTGTCCTCCAAGTGCCAAGCGGAAGGAAAAAAATGACGGGAAACCACTCCCCGTCCTCAGCCGCCATTTTGGATCCACGCATGTCCTCTTCCTCGCCCCCCGTACGACTTTTCCCGCGCGATTTCGTGCCGTCCCTCACGTGAAACCGACCTCCACGAATGCGAAAGCTCTCCGTCGATGAGCAATCGAGAATGGGATTTCCCCTCGCGATCCATCCAGTCCCTCTAATATCCCATCCGGGTCTTTCTTCTATATGACCTGAGCTTCGCCGTTATAAAAAAAAAGAAAGAAGAAAGAAAGAGAGCGATCGTTCGCGGTGGATTTCACGATCATTCTGCCTCCTTTCTCGTCCCTTTTACGGTCAAACATCACGAGAAAAAAAATCCAAGGAAATAAATACCTTCCTTACCTTAATTTCCTTGTAAGCGCAACACGCTGATCCCATTCGACACGAGAGAAATCTCGACGGCGCAAACGACAGGGTGTTTGCAGGAAAACGCGTGGGAAACATTGGAATCGAAGAAAAGATGGTACTGGAACTGGGCCGATCGAATCCGAAATGCGTACTCGATAATAAATTAAAATTTCGAAACTCTTCCCGGACGTTTTGGAAATCCGGGGAACGATTTCCACATCTTATTTTATCTGTGGGAGAAAAAAGGTCGTTTGACGTCATTCCTGCCCTTCGCGGTTTTCTCGATCGCCTGGTTTCACGTCATCGTTTTCTCCCACGTCGGCCGACCGGAAACGGCGAGATGGAAACGAACAGATGCGATAAGCCATCGCCAGTCGATCTGGGAATCTCCGAGTGATTTCTTTAAGACTTTCTTACGCAAGACTACGGAGAATCTCGCCGACGGGGGGGGGGCCTGAAATGACCTGATGCAGTCACGTGACTCGTCTCCGTCGTGCATGGTGGCATCGTGGAGATGTGCGATCTCGTTTCCAGCTCGATCGAATTTCTATGCTAAACGATTCCGGCTTTTTGCTTCCATGCTGAGCATATTTCCTTGGCATTCTCGACACGCGATTCGATGAGGTAGAATGCGATCTTCGCAATTGTGGGGAAATTTCATGCTAAGGCTCTCCGGACCGCTTCGCGTGGACAGACCCATTTATTGATTGAAAGAAAATTGGGCGAGGGGATAAATGTCCCCCAGGATTTCGAAACCCCCTTCTTTCCATGCGTCATCGAGAGACTATAAATTAAAAAATCCATCAAGTCACTTTTCTCGGCCGACTTTTACTGCATGACAGGTGAGAAGTGACAATCACGGCCAATGAATGCCAATATTGGCGGTTAAATTAAAAAATCCGAAGGCTCAAATCGAAAAAGAAATATGATTGAAAGTGAAGACTACTAATATGGCGACACTAGAATCATTTCTTCTTCAAGAAACTAATGGATACAGAAAGTGCGAGTAGTGCGAAGTCACCGAGGGGATGAGTCTCCCTCCGCCAATGCTATGCCGTGTCACCATGCACATTTCCACGGCCTGATGGCCTCTCATTTCTCGTTACGAAAGAAAATAAAGGATATTCATAAGAAAGGGCTTCAAGAGTTCGAATCATTTGGGGCAGAAACGAACAAGAACACAAATGGATGACACGGAGGAAGGGGTGAGTCATGCGCGCCATAGAGACATGTGCGTGCGGGTGCGTGAATGCAAGTGAGGATTGCATGGGGCGTGATGCAATCATCGGCCCCACCCCGCTCTCCCCTTCCCTTCCCCTAGGTCATATGTTTTTAATTCGCAACATGCTCCGTCCTTACGGACGACCCATGCTTAGACTTCCATAAAATAAGCTCCAACATCCAGAGGATGAAAAGCATCCAAGGTCGAAACATGCTAGCTTCTCACGGTGACTGGTGAGAAATTTCCAGCCGGTTCACTGGAGTAATCAGCGAGTGATTCACCTGCTGTTTTTTTCCTCCTGTGACTCACTCGCCTCAATAAAGTTAACAGCAGATTATGAGTAATAGGGCATTTATCAAGTTTCTAAAGGCTGCTGTGTCGGGTACACATACGAGCCGGATCGTCTTGGAAAGGTCTCCTTTCCTTTTCAAACCACCATTACATCAGATGCTAAATGAATTGATCTCATCGACAGCGTTGTATGATACTCAATGAATATATGTATATCCAGACACCAAATGACCACAGAAATAAACCAATGATCTTTATTCAGCATACTAATTTCCAAAAGCAAGATCAGCGGATAATACATTTCATCACTTTAAAAAATGTATAGCTGGAAACAAATCCAATAGCACTATGCTTCCAGTTAAGCCGGTTGCATCACAGGTGTAGAAAGAAACCTCATTGTCTTCCAGTCTGACAGCCTATCATTGAATAAAAGTGCTGTGACAAACTCATCCTAGCTTGCTAACATGAAACCCTTCTTGTTAGTGGAAAAAATTCATGAATGAAGCTGGAGCCTTCATTGTTACAAGCATACATCAAAGAATTCCACATTTTCAAAATAAGGTGAAACTCAAAATTCCAGGTTGCAGACTCAAATAAGGAAAGAGATTCCTCTTCCCTCTTCCTCCATTTTCATTACCAAGAAGTAATGGGAGGTCACCTGGCATGAAGGTCCTCATCACATGGAAGAAGCCTGAGGGCAAGGAAGTGGGTGAAATGGAGAAGGGCATATCGGAGGGAGAAGTCAAGGATCAGAGCCCCAAATCCCTTGTAGAAGCCAAGATAACCCTCATCGATGCGGATGCCATCGATGCAGTCCCGCACCCCTTCGTAGCGGGACAGGATCGGCACCACCTCGGTCCCACGCTCCAAGTTGTCCACTATTGTCCTTGTCCCCTGCAGCAGCAACCTGGAAAAATATGCAGTACTGTACCAGATGAAAGTATGATACCAAGTTCCAATGGCTACACTCCATGATGCATACTAAGGTAGTTAAAAGTTGCACTAAGTCCTTGAATGAAGGCAAAAACATTGAAATCTCAGGTCTCAGTGATGTCAGTGAATAGACTGGGTACACTGCCATCTCTGCAGGATGCAAACAAGCAGTCTTATACTCCCAGTATGTGACACCTAACAGAATGGAACAATTGCAATGATTCTCAATTTCCATATCAAGGAGGGAATTAGGGCTGTTGGGCTATTTGTTAGTTGCCTCCAATCATCACCATCATGATCAAGATATGCCAACCTACATGTGCATATTTCATTAAGGTCAGTGTAGTGATTGAATGCAACATGCTATGAGTCATTCAAAAAAGCAGCAAATTGCAAGGAAATATGTGTTACAGGATAATAAGAAAAAAATATATAAAGGAATATATCCAGTTGAAATACAGAACTGACAATTCTTGGTGTTGTTCATGGTCCTTGATGTACCAGCAGTAATGAAAAATAGCTGCATTACCACTTAAAAGCCTGTGTATTAAGCTGGAAAAAAAGTTGCATTCCTTGTTTTCTATCAATTAGAATGGAGTACATCACAGAGTCTTCAGATTCCTAAGTTTGTCAGAATATCCCAAAGCTCAAACAAATAAATCATAAAGCAGTTGGAATTATTTCACTCAATTTCCCATGAAAAATTGATAGGGAGCTTTTGAGGGCATTTGGTTCCATCTTATATAGTCAAGAAAGTCTCTATTTTGCATACATTACAAGTGTGATGTTGCATTATGTTGCTAGTGCACAATCCAATATCACTTGTACATTCTCAAGCAGAGAAATTTAAGACTCCTGGCTGTTTTCCTTCTATTTCTATCCCTCACATTTGGCAATAATTGCCCAAGCATCATGTAACTGATTATCCCTGAGGGTTGCTGAGAAAGTTGTCACCATGAATCACTTCTTCTGGTCCCAGAGAATTAAATTCTACAGAGATTTGGTCTCCTTTTTTAATATTCTGACTCAAAATGTCAGCATTGGCAGCACATTCTGTGAAATTTGACATCAGATCATATTCCATAAGAAGGAATGCAGAAGTTTAACATGAAACTTCTTCAAACTCCTTGGTCATGACATCCTCACCCTTGCAGCTTCTCATTTCTTGGAGAGAAGCTCCACAATACTCCCAATTGCTTCACAGCATTTCATAGAATCTGATGAACACTTCTTTGATGAGCTGCTCCACTGCAGCAATGTTTGAGTCAGTGATAGCTTAAGGGAGGATCTTCAAATGAAAAAGTATGTGAACATTTCAAAAACCATTCTTGGAAGGTAGTCAGGAAACATGTTTGAATTCTCAAGACACTATGCACCAGATCATGACTCTGGTGTGCCAGTCCTATTAACAGCATTAGGAAATGATATAATGATTTTTTGTCAACTCAGTCACCTTACAGAAAAGTGGATCATCATCTGATGGTAAAGTCTATGAAATGCAAGGACAACGCTAAAATTCTATATTCAGCAGTCAGAAATGAGGCCACACCACAGTAGACTTGGGCAGATATGGGATGAATGGAAGTGGTCCATAATAAGATATTTCTGAGCATCCCCTGTATTTCATCAACAAGAAAAAGTTCATTCCTGGATGGCCAATCTATGCTGGCACCTTGAACAGGATATGGGTCAAGGGTAGGTGTACATGAGAGAAAAGCAAGACACAAGCTATATGAATTGCAAAGAATGGAATCTCATGAGGAAAAAATATAACCTTTTTCCATCTCAATATAGTGAGTGAATTCTCATCTTTTTAAAGAATTTTTTACTTGGCACAACAGTGAGAGGAAGATACTATGACTTGGCTGCTAAACCACCTGGTGAATATAAATTTAGAATCTTCAAAATCTTCAAAAAATGGACTGCTGGATGCAACTTCTTACATATTGGCTTTGTAGTAGGAATTGAGACCTGGGTTTTCTTTCATGATATGGAGGAGGTTAAAATTTGCAAATTATAATTTTGGATAAATTTTGCTGACAAAATGAAAGATGACTTCATCTGAGATGTAAATCCAGTAAATTATATGTAATGATTTATAGATTTTTTGCAAATGATTCTTGAGCAGTTTCCAAATTTTCTTGACTGGTGCTAGGAATACCTGACCTTCTCTTCCACTTCACAGATCCAGGCTCCTTAAACTTTTCGTCCAATTTATTACTGGGTTTTCAGAAAGTAAATTCTTTTTGAAAGTTCTTCTCTACTTTAACATTGCCTTGACCCTATAGGGTAAGCACCCCAGTTTCTGGCTGGTCTCCAGTTGTTGGCCAGTGAGGATTAAATCCAGCACAATCTGGCCATTTTCAAGCATTCTATCAACATCTTCCTGTACAAGGACCTATTACTAGTGTTTCCCGGTGTGCGCACAGGGTGTCCACTTCTTATGGGAGTTGTATCAGTGTGGCCAAAAACTGGGGTGTTCGCCCTATTACAAAACTGTACACTCTGTGAGAGAGAAAATGAAGATGTGCTATCATCAACTTTTTTTTCCTGTGATTTTCTGCATATTGAGATTTAAAAGACATAATCATGAACCCAGTGCCCCTGAGAATTCTTCAAACTAAGGTCTACATGTGTGAGCAAGGACCTATCAGGACCGAGAGTAGAGGATAAAATATCATGTTAGTGCTCTTATGTACCCTCCTGTCCTGCTGGAGTGATGGTATCTTTTTGGCCAAGGTTGAGACCTGGTGGTGGATTTATGAAAGGCAATTTTTGAAGATAAAGGATTTCCAACAGTGTTCTAATTTTAGGCTTGAAAGAACTATGCTCTCCAGTATCCATGGCCCTCCTAATAGGGTCACCTGCATTAACTGCTACTCCACTGACCTGTGATAGATTGTCTCAAGAGGAAATGAGATGACACTGGCCAGGCAGGCACCCCAAAAATCTGCTCTGCACTTCATATAAACCTGGAAACAATCATTTCCAAAAAAATATTATTCATCCATAATATTTTTCAAAAAGCCTCCTGTAATTCCAATATTGTACAAGTTCCTTAAACTCACACGGGAAGTGTGATCCCTGGAAGTCCACTGAATTGCACGAGCCATTACCCGGGATACAATTGAAGAGATGCAATAAAATGAGAGACCATGCACCAGGGAAAGTGGGACCAGGCTCCAGATATTGATTAAGCGAGCTGAAACAAAATAGAAACATGAAAATGATAATAAATCATAGAATAAAAACACTCCACAGAATTTCAGACACTTATAGAATTGTAATTTGATACTTCTGTGCCAAACCCAAATCAATGCCTTCCTGAGTTAAACTCTTTTCTTCTAAAATTGTCAAGAGACAAAGGGATGCAAATGTGGCAGGTTCCATTATTAACATCTCATCTTGGTAATGCATTTTCAAGTCACTCAATAATCTACACAAGAGAGCATTCTTTTTAAAGCAGCTCTGAAAACCCATGATTTTTTCTTGTTCACCTGAGTGAGCATGATGATGGCCAGGGAGAGCACGTCGAATGCCCTCCTGAATGACATCAAAAATGCCAGGAGGATCAGAAGCAATGTCACTCTGAACTGTTTCTACAAGACTGGCTGAATAGAAAGGCATCTGAAGGACAATGCTTGTCCCCTTCAGAAAGATATGCTGCACTGCCTTACCCACACTTGGCCGTGAAGGCCACTCTCTGAAAAGAGAAAAGGCATTAAACCCCTTAAAATTCCTTTCTCATAAATTCAGGTCAATGCAATCAAATGATAATGGTTTTTCACTGATTTTTAACACAAGACACAACTTCATTTTCTCATCTGAGAAGAATGGAAGAGTGCTCAAGTTCACTCTTGGGTTCTGATAAGAACATTCAAGAAATTCATGTGCAAATTATGCCATGAAGCTCATTACCTTCAAATAAGGGAGATCATATGTAAAACTAGCCATAGCAATGTTTTATCACTATAACAAGGCAAAACAGAGAATTTGAGGCAAAGTAAATGCATTCATAGGCTATACTGACAACTATGCACAGACAGACAAGAGCAATGGTATATATCAATTTTGACTGAAATGTGAAGATAAGAGAGAAGAATGAAATGCAGATACCACTCCATCCACATAACAACCCCATTGCTTGCCCAAGTCAAAGCTTTGCAATGTATTGGGAATGAATTAGGCAATGTTCCTAACATTAGGACTGACAATAGGGAAGACAGATTCAAATTGAATTATAGAGTTGTAAACAAGGTGACAATGCTATCTTTGTGAAAACAGAGACATATATCATGTCAGCTGCTGGAATAAGAGGCTGCTATTATTGCCCTGTGATCCCTGGCTCTGGTGTCTGGCATGTACCTTTGCCCAGAACAAAGATGGTGTCAGCCATCAAGTGAACACAAGGGGCAGCAATCCTTATTTAGAATAGTATTCTCAGCTACTTCTCTTTACCATCATCATGAGATAGAGGCCAACTGAAATCAGTAAATTCATCTAAGGAGCACTTTTGGACATATGCAACTTATCAATTGATGTGAAGCACATGAGGGCAGTCTTGTGTATTCACATTAGTATAAGAACAGTATTAGCAGAATACTTCTCTCAAGCTAACTGCATCGATCTACTCACACACTGATGATCTGAGTTGTGACATGTCTTTGCTGGTGAGGCTGTCACTGCTTAGGATATTCAACAGAAAAGGTGCTGAGGACTTTGCAGTGGCTCAAACACTAACCAGCCAAAGGATATCTGAATCCAGGTACATACAGGGCGAGTCAAAAGTCACAGGACAACTTTGAACAGCTATAACTCAGCAAGGAAGGCATTAATTTGCAAACGATTTGTTGCAAATTAAAGAGTGTACAATAATTGACCAAACAATATGGAAATTTGCCTGAAATACTAATAAGAAATATGATGAGTCAGCACAAAATGAAATGCTACATTTTCCAACATAATTTGATATTTAGAGTATCATGGACGCTTTACTTGCAGTCACTTTCAGCTAACTTTTGCTGCTCCAAAATGTTTTCTGATAATGCCAATGAACTTTCTTTAGAGGAATGTGCTGCATTGTTTATTTCTTGTTCATCTGTGAAGGAAATATTTCCGAAGTGAAGCATCATTTTGCTTTAAGGCCGGGTGGATAGGCCTGGTCAGGCCTATCAAGTGGCCTATCCCAGGTCACCAGACCTTACTCCACTTGACTTCTGGCTGTGGGGTTTCATTTAAAGACCAGCTACACGCTGGGAATTCACACACAATCAATGAACTGGAGTAACACATCACTGAGAAGATTGCTGGAGTTGCCTTTTGGTGGCAGTTCGTGTGATCAAGCTTGATGGAACTCAACATCATGGGAAGATTTACATCATAGATACATAAGAAATAAACTGTCAATGTGTTCCTCAAAAGAAAATCCATCGGCATTATCGGAAAACCATTTGGAACAGCAAAAACTAACTGAAAATAACTGCAAATAGGACATCTGTTGTACCCTAAATATCATTTTTATGTTGAAAGATATTGCATTTCCTTTTGTACTTACTCATCCTATTTCCTTTCAGTATTTCATGGAAAATTCCATGATGTTTTGTCATTTAAAGCACACTCTTTCCCATGCAACAAACCATTTGCAAATTAATGCCTTCCTTGCCAAGTTACAGCTGTTCAAAGTCATCTTGTGACTTGTGACCAAATATGAATTTTGAACCTTTCTTCCAAAATTTGAGATGAGCTGCATCATGTAAGCATATTGTTTGCGAGTCTATCTCCCTTATATTTTTTCACCCATATTTTTTAGCATTTCCACCATAAATGTTTGCTTGCGAATGTATCAAGATCAGTCTGATTCTGTTCAAGTGAGAAGCCTCATGTACAACAGTAGCAAGGAACTTTCAGGCTCCTCACTGACCATATAATTTATACTGGTACCCATAAGCCAAGTGGAGACATCTGATGAAGCTCGCATCAGCAGAACTGCAATGTGTGTGTTCATTGGAGGTGGGGCAATGCATCACAAATTTTCCTCTAGATCAACAAAAATAGCTGGGCATCCATGGAATAGAGTATCTCCATCGGCCTACTTTGGCCAAGGTGTGATCTTGGAGAGGATGTCTTCAGTCCAGTAGCTCATGCCACGAATCACCAAGGTGCCAGGCAATCCCTTCCACAAGCACCCAAACCCTTGCCACCGAGTCAGTCGTACCATAGAGGGAATCAGGGCCAGGGGATGGATGTGACACCTGCATCAGAGAAACACAGAGTATTTACCTGTTCAAAATTTCCTTCCTTCAGCCTACTGACCAAAGGCGCAATCTGGATTTTGCACATTTTGATCATACCTATTGCATGCTGCATTGACTTGGCACTGACGTCTCAAGACACGGAATGGATGCGAGATTAAGTACTCAGATGCAAGGAAGGTGGTTAGCAAGACATTGTCCAGGACACTGTTTTTCTCTGGAGGTTCTGGAACATGAAAAAGCAAGGCTTCAAATGCCAAGCCAGTTCACACAGACTATCCCCAGTCCTTCATCCTAATCATGACTAAATGTGATAATGTGATTGGGATGATATATTTTTGGTGATGAAGCAAATCACCTTCATAAGTTCTCTGATGTTGCATTGAGAAACGGAGCTCATCAGCTTCACGAGAAGGTGGTACACTGCTGCTTTCAAGTTCCCTGCGTCGCAACTGTCTCAGCTCATCTACTGAAACCCATCCAGAATCCTGAGACTCCTGACTAGGTTCACCTGCTGAAACATCAGCCACTCAGATTTCAACTGGATGAAATTAGACATGCTCAACACTAAAATTTGGAAAAGACATTAAAAAAAAAAACAGTATATAATGGCCTAGCCTAACCTAGGTCAATGTGGTCAATTAAGTCAACACTTGACTTAATGGTACTCTAATTCAACCTGGTTAGTCACAGCACAGTTAATGCACCAACAGCATTCATACATACTGTAGTAAGTCATTGCTTGCAGCACTGAAGATAGGCCCATGTATACCTATCTGCTCAAAATGTAGGCATATGCTCTGCAGAAACTTCTGCAAAATCTCAGCTTAGACTTATGCCTAAGCTGAGACTGGGTGTTATCTATTTTCCACATACATTGACCACCCAGTTTAAATTAAACTAACCATTCTCCTCAGTGGGCACTTCATTCCTTCCTCCATGTTCCTCTTACAAATCTTGCATTGTGACATACAAACAGGCTTTGTGGAAGGCAAGATTTAGATTAGTGAGTGACTAGGCAGGGACATGTGAAATATTCCCAACATTTGAAAAACTACTCCATCAGTTGGAGTGCTTGTGGAGTACACCTCAAGTTGGATGTCCTAAAATGTACAGTTTTCATATTGATCTGATACTCTACCATTACACATTAGGGGAGAATGGAGAAAACAACTTATAGATGATCTACTTCAACAGTTGATCAACAAAATAACTCCTTTGTTTGAAATGTCACTACCTGCAATTGATGTAAGCACTCTTATGGGGGAATATGAATTTAACCTGAGAACAGTGTAGTTTGCTTGTTTATTATGGAATTTAGCTATGACACTAATGGGTGATGGCTTATGGGCTGCCAGGGGCCCTGCCCCTGTTCAATGCAGCCCTTACCTTAACCACATGAACTTAGCATCTTGGCTTATGCCATAAGCAAGAGGAACAGGAGGGAAAGATTGGAAGCTGAAAAGGTCATGAAGAGAGGAGTGACATGACTACATAACTGAATACCTCCTTCCTTTGCACTCTCTCTCTCTCTCTCTCTAGGCAAAGAGGATGGAGTGTGGGCATGGAGCAAAGCTAACAGAACTGGGTGTGCAAGACATATGCAGAACAAGTGACAACTTAACCTATGGCTGAATTACTGCTATAATAAGTACAACATTGATTAGGCGAAGTGCTGGTTTAGACCTAGGGCTTATGACCAGTGTCTTTGACCCAGGCTTACCGTGAAACATGATCGGGTTCTGCGAATCCCTGAGTGGAGTCAGCCAATCACTAACAGCATAGTCTCTTTCAAGTGGCATGGCTAGATTGGTCCTGAAATTCAAACCCATGTCCCGCGCAATAGGGATATTATCTGGCCTGACTGCATCAGGTCCACTAAAGTTTCTTCGAAGTTCGCCTTCATCCATTCCTGCAGCAGACCCAGGCCTACGCGTATAGGATGGGAGGTCCTGAGGAGGCTGTGGACGAGACCTTCGGTACTCAGAATGATCAATTATGTCCCAGTTTTCAGGAAATCCCACAGCCTTCTGGTTCCATCCCGCCATGGGCTTGTTCCAATATATCCTTCGGGAATCGGTCAGATGAGACCGTAGAGACGAGTCGGATTACGTGCCGTACAAACTAACAGGTTACCATGTGCGCCGACATGCAAGAAACAGGGCTGCTACCGTGGCAGTGATGTATAAATCTGTATACGCACGTAAATTGAAGAGGAAAAAAACAAATCGAGACGACGGCATCTACTACCTATGCAAGTTGCAAGGTGACTGGTGAGTGGGTGTGTATCAACAATGCCATCTAGACGTGGCTTTCCAAGCGTCACGCGAAACATGCTGCATATGCCTTCTTTATTTTCCAAGGACAGATCTTCCGCCCCACCTCAATGGACAATACTGACAAAACTCCATCTACAGCATGGGCGTCCGCTCCCAGGGGCAAGGGGGGGCACTTGCCCCCCCCCCCCCTGGAAATCGGGCATGGCAATTTACTGGTAGTACTATACAAGAAATTTAATGTACTTCATGTGGAAATCTCTTCTTTCGTAGCACCATTTAGACCAATCTTGCCACGCAATATGAAACATCCTAACGAGTTAAAAATTCAACTCAACCCATCTAGTCCAGAGGTTCCGGTAACACTACTGCTCTACATAACATCGCGCCAAAGCTGAAGATCGTACAACATGGAATGCAAGTATCCCAGGCTGAATGGCTATTTCACGTAATTTTTGCAGTTACATTATTTTTTTTATAACCAAGGTGCCTGTTGTTTCTCTTCGAGTAGAAGACCCTCCCAGCAAACAAGGCTATGTTGTACCAATGTTACAAACGTTGATTCAGCGTTATGTGTTTCAAATTGTTTGCTGGGCTGTCTCATTGTCTGACATAAGAGTTGCATAATAGGTCTACAGGTAAGGGCTAC